ACTGGTCTCGTCTCGTCATCGTCCAGTGACAATCGACATTCTTTGTAAGTTCCGTTGGGACTGTAGCTTGTGCTCGTTTTCGTTGCGCTTGCCTTCCCCTCTTTGGTCTTTCCATAACCTTGAACCTTCCAAGTTGGAAGGCTGTCGGTTAGCGCTACGGAGATGTGTTGAAGCTAGGTGTCAGGACGTCGAATGTCTCAGTACTCTGTCAGTTTTGTGCCTAGTTGTTGCACTTTCTGACTGTATACAGTGGTGGAGAGTTACTCTTAACTCGTTTCCATATGTCCTTTTCCTTTCTACTTTTATTATTGGCTCAATACCCGAGTTTCAAACAACAAGTAAGTTTGTAATTGTATGTCTTGTGATGGTTTGGCCTGGAGAGCACTATGACTATGACTGTGGTGCTCTTCCGAGACACAATCTTCATCTGCCTGCTCGAGCTCAACTGATGAAGGGTGAATTCCTCGAAACACTGTGGTGCTTTCTTGCAGGTTTGCAGAGTCGAAGGTTGGATGGACTTCTCGTGTGCTCTGGACGGCGCAGTCGTGAGCCAGTCAAGTGTCAAGACAGTCAAGTTAGCGGAAAAGCGCGAGCTCCAGTGTGGGAACTGGGGAGCGAACACCTTCATCGCCAAAGTCGCTACTACATGTACCAGTAGTATACTGTACCACTATCTCGTAAGTGATAACATTGTGAGTATAAAAGCCTCGGATTTCAAACATGTACACTACAAAATGTCATGTAGAGTCTACTTGCTGCAGGACCAGTACAATGTCAATGAGGAGTGCACACCAGATAAATTGTGGGATCAGATTCAAGCGGGAATTACGGAGGTTGCGGAGGAAGTAGTTGGGCGCAGAGGAAGGAAAAAGCCTCCCAAGCCCTGGATCAGTGAGGAGGTGATAGCTCTGGCAGAAAGAAAGCGTATAGCCAGATGCACCCGGTAAGGACCAAGAATACAAGGATCTGAAACTAGCAGTAGCAGTGCGCCGAAGGATTCGCTGTGACAGGAGAAAGTGGTTAGAGGATAAAATGTAAACACATTAGACATGGTTAGCATTTTACCGTTCACGCTATTTTCGGCGGTAGGCCTGCACCGTTTTTGTGTGTGTAGACATGGCATTTTACAGTTCACGCGCTAGATCCAACGGTACTCGTACCCCAAACCCAAAATACCGTCGGTTTGGTACCGTTTCGACGATAGAAAGCTCTTTTTAGCGGGAGAACGAAACGGTAAGATTCCAACTAGGGTTACCTCACACGTCTATCGACGATAGACGTGTGAGGTATCGTTGCGTCAGGAGTCAGAACTCAGAAGCCGAACTGCTAACCGTGTCTCGAAAACACATCAAAAACAGTAGACTCGCCCTCTACACGCCGACCGTCGAAATAGCGCGAACGGTGATGACGGATCCCTGACGGAGAAGGAAGATGTATTGCTGCGGTGGTGTGAATATGGGCAGCAGCTATTTGGGCAGCCGTCAGGAGATCAAGGGTGTTCGGCCTTGGCGGAGAATGGTGCGGAAGAGCTTCCATCGTCACTACCCTGAGCCTGTGCCTCTCTTGGCTGAGGTTGAGCAAGCCATATTGTCCCTGAAGAAGAGGAAAGCCCTGGACTTGATGGGATCGTGGCGTAACTGATTCGGCATGCATCCTCAGTTTGTGTTCTATTCCTACATAAACTTTGTTTGGAGATTTGGAAGACAGGGAGATGGCCAAAAGCGTGGAAACGTCAAGAAATCGTCATGCTACCCAAAGCTGGATCAGCTAGGGAGTGTTCCAACTATCGGACCATTGCTTTGATGTCACATGCAAGCAAGATCCTTCTGACAATTATCTTGAATCGTATGAAAAAGAAGATAGAGGCTGAGTTACCAGATGAGCAGGCTGGTTTTCGAGCTGGTCGCAGTACTGTAGATATGCTCTGTGTTCTGCAAATCATTATCGAAAAACCTCTTGAATGGCAGAATCATATATCCATTGTATTTATCGATTATCGTAAAGCCTTTGACACAGTTAACCACTACATCTTTTCGGTTGCATTTTGGATTTTGGTTTCCCTCGCCATATAGTTTGTTTGCTCCAGAATCTTTACACGGGGATGAGGGATGAGCGGAGTTATCAGACGGAATGGCTTGCATTCGCCAGAGCTCGCCATCAAGAAGGGTGTTCGGCAGGGCTGTATTTTGTCCCCACATCTATTTAGCCTGTATACTGAGAGTGTTATGCGTGTGTTATGCGTGTTGCTGATGTGGACAGTATCGGTGTGAGAATCGGAGGACGCCAGCTGTCGAACCTACGATATGCAGATGACACGGGATTGTGTGCACATCCGTCAGAAGTGTCTACCCTCACCAATGCTGTTAATTACGCTGGAAGAGAGAAGGGCCTGTCACTGAATCTGTCCAAAACCAAGATCATACATATCGGAACCTGTACTGCTGGTGCAAACGATACTGCTCCAACGCCACTTGTGGTCGATGGAGAACGAATTGCAGAGGTGAGCAGTTTCGTCGCTTTTCTTTTTCATGGCGCCGATAGACAGTGGTGTGTGGTGCAGATCGATTTGAGCGTGCATGAGGATTAAAAACCCGTATATCAAGTAAAGTACGCTCAAAACGACTGCCCCACAAACTACTGACCGCTACATAAAGCCGCGCATGCTCCTCCACAATAGCAGACCTGTATCTCAATTCTCATTCTCTCTCCAGTGAGTGGCTGCAGCAGTGGCTCGATGGAGACATTGTGACAGGTCTCTTGAAGGAGAGAGGCTGTCACATCCCGGATCTCATTATGGCGGATAATGGTAAACCACCAAGGGGACATGACAAGGCATGGTCAATACCATTGTCCCGTCCACAAGAGCAATGAGTTAGTAACCTCGGCGGCATCCAACCCGTCCATGAACTCAGCTTTGCTCAGTGAAAAGTCATACTTTTTCAATGGACGGCAAGTCAGCCAACTCGAGGCGCCGGGTTCACGGGCGAGGACAATGGTGTGTCGCAAGGCGTCCGACGCATCATTGCTGATACGCCGTGCCGACTCCGCCTGGCTATGACGTACAAAGTTTGTACTTCCTTCTTCCTCTACACTACACTGTACATGACTTGTACATCTTCTTGCAGCCCGCCATATTATCCATATCCATATCCGGCATTATCATATCGGCCAAAACTGGAGTGAGTGTCGAAGGTGAAGTGTATGTGACATGTGGCAGTCGACACGCTCGCATTCGTCTTTCGACTTTCGAACCTGTCAGTGTCAGATCTGATGCATATCATCAGATCGTGGCCGTGTCGTACATGTAGTATTGTCTGTAGTCTAGACTACAAGTACATGATTGTACACTAGTACTAGTAGTACAAGACTCTTATCTCACTCAGTACATCTACTCCTCCATCATCAACTAAGAAGTAAGATCAAGGTCATCAACTGAGGAAGATCAAGCCTCAAGGTCATCAAGACATCATGGATTCATGGTCATGTCGGCGGCGCGGATAGCTAGATCGGATCCGCGGACTGCACTTCGCGATCGCTAGCGCGCGCGCGCTGGAGTCTGAACTGTCTCAGTCACCATGGTCACTGTCTGACTCTGGCCTGGGGCTAGGTGTCACAGACTAGGTTAGCAGAGGTCAGAGTCAGAGTCTGATGTGTGTCAGCTGATCTCATGCTGTAAATAGCATAATGCTGCATGAGGCTGAGGGGCGATGTACGCCCCCATCCAGTGCCGCGTATATATATCAGGTACAGACTCTGATATCATTATGACTGAGTCAGTGAGTGTTGTGTAGATGCAGCTACAATGTAGCTCCACTCCGGCAGTACTAGTACTAGTAGACCCAGGTGCTCGAAGTCCGTACACGTTTACAGTGTGTGTTTGCCGAGCTGAAACTCACACTAGCAATGATCACTTGCCAGAATCCTGCTCGTGGATGGAAGGTATCTTGTCCAAGTTTGTTTTGAGGCCAGGCTCGATTGAACCAGGCCATCTTTCGATCCGATCTGTTTCTCTGGAGTTCGCTCATTTTCCATATCAAAATTTGGTGTCGCAGAGGGTACTCTAAGTCCGTACTGATCAGAGGTGACTCGAAATACACACATATTTCTGCTAATTGCTAACTTGCAATCCCTCGGTTACGACGAAAGCACCGAAGGGATATGTTTGGCATGTGCCTCCACCGGTATTTCTTGCAAAAGCGTAGTTTGTTGCCGAAATGCAAGCTGTTTTTAGTCGGCTCAGAGAAGAAGCAGCTGCGCTGTGAAAACCGCGGGAAAACAGTGGTGGAGATGCCAGGAGTGTCAACCTTTCTGCAAGGATAGGTGGTTCTCTGTAAATTCTTCTCCTCTGGCCATTGTCAGCTCTAAGCTGGCTCTTGATGATTGAGTGAAGGTCTGTTTGACGCTGTGTCCGTTCGAAATCGGTCTTGGCAAAGTTGATTTTTGCATGAAATGTAACCCAATTTGTATTTCGTATGGACACTCGAAAACCCACTCCCGTGGTATGGGACTTCTGCTGATCGTAGATCCCTGAAAATTGGTACGCGAGGAGAACATACCACACTGTCCCCTCCATAAAATATTTGAGTCGAATACAATAACAGAACATGAAATTATGGGCGTACGAACTTAGGATACCATGTACGGACTTCGAGCACCTGGGTCTACTAGTACTAGTAAGTAGTAGTAGACCTACTGAGTACTGTCCTGGTCCAGGATAAGTCCAGGCCATGCAGCGCCAGTCCACCAGGCCAGTCGGCACTATGCACTGCATGCACCAGGCACCAGGCCAGGGTCCACACGCTTGCTAGCATGCTATGTATGCATAGTATTTGAAGGTCTGGTTTGCGAGACACTGGACTTGAACGCGCACAAAACGCCCACGGTGATCAGACAGTGTGACTCGACTGTGAGCGGGGTTTGTCGGCGGAACCAGCACGTAGATCTACGTGGAGATCGAAACATCTGAGTGCAGACTACAGACGTACAGTCAGTACAGACTAGACTAGGCAATGTGCAGTAGCGGAAAATGACGGCGCTTCAGACTGCCATCGGCAAAATACAAGTAATTCTAGCATTCATCGCTAGCGCGCTATCCGTCCTGCTGCAGCTGGACTAGGGCGCGTGCAGATAGCCGTGAAAAGCCTCCGAAAACGGCCAAAGCGCGCGCCCAGCACGTTCGAGGAACAACTCCGAGGAGATTGCAGAGGCGTGCAGCGGACGAGTCGCGGATGACTTGGCCATGCCGGGGAAGAAAGGCTGCGTTGTTAGTTGCAGGCATGTCCTCTGGGAGAACTCTGCAAGGCAGGTCAGTAGGAGAGAGCTGCTGTCGTTGCGGGTGGCAGAAAGAAGGCACTCGCGAGTAGCGATATTTGTTCTGCCTGGACTTCGCCGCAATGGAGAGCCACACGCTCCTGGCTGTGCTTTTCATAGTTCTGCAGGCTGTGACATTGGCTAGTTGTTTGCGGTGCCAGTGTAATGAAGCCTTTGATTCCTGTGTTCACAACGTGGAGGAGTGTGACCAGCCATCAGTGGGATTTGTGTCTGTATGCTACTCTCTTGCCACGAAAACGCTTGTGAATGTGTCCGGCCAGTCTGGATCATCATCTATGCTGGAGTGGAGATGGTTGGTGCGGTACGGATGCGCGTCCAAGGGTGCGTCGGGCTCCGGCAGAAGCCATTTGAGTTCGAATGTTCAGTGCACGTTCCATAAACCTGGCAGTGACGGCGACGGGGGCGTCGTTGGAAGCTGCTGCGAAACAGACTTCTGTAACAACCAGCTGAAATTTATGGCTCAGTTGCCCAGTCTTCCAAGACCTGTCGTCACCGCAGCACGTAAGCATGATTTGGATACTCCGACATGATGTAAATTCTGTTCGTTGTATGTGTGGTAGATCTACATGTGTTGTGGGCCGTGTGGTACTGGTGATCTTCTTTACGACTGCATGTGCTGGTATCCCGGATGTAAAACCAGAAAACAGTGTTTGGGTCTGGAGAAACTGACTAATGACACTAATGGCAGTACTTCAATCTTGTGCCGCTGTGCATGTGGCACGTGGTCAGACCCCAAGTGTGATATACTGTACTGGTTTTGTCTGTGTAATTACATTAAAAATGATTATGTGCCCTGAAAGGTTAGTAGATGTTCAGCCACTGCTGGTTAGCACTTAGCCGGTTTTCCTCTTGCCCGTGTGCCGGTACGGGGGGGGGGGGGGGGGGGGTGGTTGTGAAGATAATAATGATGATGGGATTGTGTCTGTCTGACTCCCAAGTGTCCGTGATTGTAATTGCGTCTCCTCTTCTAAGTCTTACTCACTCTGGTCTGGGAGGCCTAGATGATGTGTATGTCGGTACTCACTGGTACTCACTACTGTTACTGGCGAATGCCGCCTGGAAGTCAATTGCCATGTTGCAACAACTCCACACTTTACAGAGTTTGCTCTTCTTCATGCTCTTGTCCAAACCTATTCAGTGCCCCATGCATGCAGCCATTACGTGAAAGCCCACTGATTGTAGCTGATTGTAGCTTCCTGAATCAGGGCAATTCATTCCTGCCAGTGCCTGTTGCTTTCACTGTGGGAATGTAATAATAACATTGTTTCTCAAGTCAAAGGAGGCAAGTGGCCACAAGAAGCACAGTGACACACACACCCAGCATGCACACTAGCAAACAATCACTGCAATAATGAATTAGGCGAAACGCCGCCACGAAGAGGCCACAGGCACAAGAGCAAGGCAGCTTGATTGAGGTTTCCCCATTGGTGATGTTTTACAGTCCTCCTGGCAAATTGATGTGTTTAGTGACTTTAGTCTGAGGTCAGTTCATAGCCTTCCAGCAAGGCTTGAGACTTCAGGAGCAAAGTGGCTACTGAATGTATGAGGTGACTGTGTTCATAGAATCACAAATGCGTGACTCTTTCACATAGGCATTTCATGACTTGGGGGCTAGTGGTAGTGCAGTGCTGAAGTGGTCTCTGAGACATTCAGCAAGTCCATATGTGCTGCAGTGGCCTGCAATATGACCAGGGGCATGGTTCCATTGCTAATTGAGGCTCCCAAGCATGCATCAAACATGCCCTGGCAACAACACTCAAGCACTAATACACATGTTTTCTCTTGCCTGCATTCTCACTGTGTTGGCGTGCAGCTCAGACCCAGGATTACACTGAGCCATCGGAGCTGGAGCTATCCAGTAGTAATGACACCATTGTGGTCGCTGTGGCCGTACTAGGCTCTCTAGTTGTCGTGGGTGGAATATGTGCTATCTTGCTGGCGCGGCATCGGTCAAAGAGGCCCAGCAAGAAACCGACGCTGCTGCCGACCTACAAGAAGCCATGCCATCCGACAACAATGGCCACCAAGCCAGACGTGTTTGTCACCGAAGTTCAAATGGACTCCGGGGTCAGTCTTGGAGAGTCCAGTGGCCGTGGTGTGTTTCAGCTGGAGCAGCGCACGGTGTCCCGAGAGATAACCCTCATTTCTAGAATTGGCAACGGCAGGTTTGGTGAGGTGTACCGAGGCGAGTGGCGTGGCAATGACGTGGCTGTCAAGATCTTCAAGACCATGGACGAAGACTCTTTCTTCCGTGAGGTGGAGTTGTTCAACACAAACATGCTCCGCCACGAAAACATCGTCGGCTTTCAGGCCGCCGACAACTTGGACTGCAGCATGGAAACGCAGCTGTGGATGGTTCTGGACTACCACAGCAGCGGATCTCTGTTCGACTACCTGCGGCATCACACTGCCGGCTCACCTCACCCGCACTCCAGCCTCAACATCTGGGAGGCGCTGCGTCTTGCCTCGTCCGCTGCATCTGGTTTGGCGCATCTTCACTTACACATCGGCGGCTCGAATAGCTTTCAGATGTTTGGGCACAAGCCGAGCATTGCGCACCGTGACCTCAAGTCCAAGAACATCCTCGTAAAGTCCACCGGCGTGTGCTGCATTGCAGATCTTGGCATGGCTGTGCGCGAGGGTCCGGAGTGGGATGATCTGAAATGCATCACCCACGCCAACCTGCGGGTAAGGCCATAGCCTCTGTGACATTGTGCTAAGTTTTCTACAGTTGTGGGTTGGATGGTTGGGGGGGGGGGGGGGGGGGGGAGAACAATAATAATGTTATGTGCACCCTTGTATTGTTCTATATTGTTCTACAGTTATGATATTTCTGGTGCGGGGCAGGCCAATTTTGCTATCAGTTATACGGCGCCAAGTTATACTCTGACAGGTGTGCACATCATACTTGCCGAGCTAACGTCACAGTCTCTCTCTTCATTTCTCTCTCTCTCTCTCTTCCATAGACTGGCACACGGCGTTACATGGCACCCGAGGTACTGGACGGTACGATTGACATCGGTGCATTCCACTCGTTTCGGCAGGTTGACGTCTACTCGCTGGCCATTGTGCTCTGGGAAATTCTGTCCAGTTGCCATCTAGCTGGAGGTAGGCTGTGAACAATATGCTTTACTGAATTTGATATCAGAAAATTGCTGTTAAGGCCAGTGAGATCCAAGACCACTTGCCTGAGGCATCTACCCTGCATAGGGACCAGGAACACATAGTCAATACATAATTCCAGAGCTGAAATTTGTAGTGTCACAATACTGTTCGAAATTGGATCAAAAATTCAAAATCATTTTCAAGATATGTTCCGGAAATTAGTTCCACGAGCACATTTGCTTCCGCACTGGCTGACTATCCCGTAGCCTTTGCGGTAATGAGATGTGCAACAGTATACCTTACGACGATGCTGCCACTGTTGTACAGCAGTGGTCACTTGTGGTATATGATGTCTACAAGCAGAAAGCACTCGCCGACATTATTTTAATCCAATTCAGATGATCATACAGCGGAATTGCCTGACGTTTAATGCATAGTGCATGCACATAACCCTACCCTGATCTCAATGCCGATACACATCGTTGCGCTGAGCTATCATAATCTATTCCCAGTGCTGACACCATGTGATCACATATCATGTTGCGCCAGTAGTAGAAAGCCATCTACGTGTATGGTACCCAGCTTTAATAGTAATGACAGGCATTCCTTCGACTTTGCATTCTCCGCTCAGGCAAGGAACCTTGCTACCAGTTACCATACGAGAGCCTGGTCCCTGGCGATCCATCCGTGGACGACATGTTCAAGGTCGTGTGCAATGCTGGCCTGCGTCCTACTATCCCAGAACAGTGGAAAACATACGAGGTAAGGAGTACAGAGCTGATCATATTTCACGTTGCTGTAACTACTTCGATAGCCAATTACAACAGCCTTTGTGAGCATGCAGTGTTTTCCAATATTTGCTCGCTGACCGTGTCAATGTCGAATATTGTCATGCCAAGCAAGGCGGCCAAGATTCAGAAGTCTTTATCTAAAATGACCCTGTATAGAAATGTGCATGGGTATCAGGAGTCTGGATCGATTGAACTAGCAAACATTCAAATATTTTTAATTCAAGTGGCCAGGTTTTGCTTGGACGCTGTGCAGTGCACATGATGTACAAGGTTGTCACCGAGTCATTGCTCATTCAGTGATCTGCTGCAAAGTGTATTGGCTGTACTCTATTTCATCTAAACACGCGGTCTTTCAAAAAGACGAGTACAAGCGACAAATAGTAGGGGCTTTTCAGCTGTGTCCATGGAGTATTTTCGAGCCATAGCTGCTATCTGCTCTACATTCTGTACCTACAATGCTCCTGGGTGTGTTCTGCCTCTAAAACATAATCGTGATGTCTGTTTATCTGTGCCACTGGCGGCTTATAGGAGTTGAGAGAGATCAGTACTATATTGAAGAGTTGCTGGAGAGCAAAGCCGTCCAGTCGCCTCCCCGCGCAGAACGTGGCAAAGAAGCTGGGCACCCTGCTGCAGACGGCCGCCACAAAGTGTGTCAACGTGCCCACCGTAAATTCGAAGAAGATGGAGTACGCCATAAGTCCTATCCATAAACCAGATGCATAATGAGTCCGAACAACCCTATAATAAAATAATCTACGGGCATATAACCAATGTATGTACGTCTTAGTTTATACTGAAATTTCAAGTCATATCGCACAATTGAGTTGCTGATCAGCCTCAATGAGATTATAGTATAACTTTATCTGCCGAACTATTGAACACTTCAGTCTGTATCTAACCATAACCTTTAATATCTCAAGTAACTTAGTGGGCAGGTTCAACGCTCAACTCTGTGCTATAAAATGATTATTAATTTAAGGTATGTGTGTGTTTGTGTGTGTTGCGCTCATCACTTGATCTTGAGGAACTCTGAAGTGAGTTCTAAATTTATTGGACTGAGCCGGAGCAGCCCACAACGCTTACGCGTACTTCTCCACAGCGTACCAATCCCATAATAGTATGATGATACATAGTTTTAACATAGGTGAATCCTTGCCACACGCCCGGCTATAATACTTGGAATAGCTTCCTCCTTTACCAGTGTCACAATACCTTTGGTAGATGTATAATTATAGTACTGGGCTGAGTCACTTGTATACGTGTCAGCCGTAATCGATCAGCAGCAATAAGCCACTTACATCAAGTACTCCCATAACTTGCAGTTCAGTATGACTCTGTTCAAGCCACTGCCATAATAAAGTATCACCCTAGCCACTCCATCATTACTGGTTCTGCTCCCGAAGGTGTGTGTGTGTACATGGGGTGTGTGTGCGTGTGTGTGTGTGTGTGCGTGTGTGTGTGTGTGCGTGTGTGTGTGTGTGGTTGTGTGTTAGTTTCCTCAGCTTTCTATCCCTGTACTATGGTGCCATACTCATTTTTGATTGCCTGCAAGAATCAGTTTTCTATGATCTGGAGTAATTACATAATTATAGCGCATCTCTATCATGTCTGTTGTGTCAGTTGTTGGCCATGCCAGGGTGTTTTTGTTCCGTGATCATCCTGGTTGTTGGAGCATTTGCCAAGGTGTTGCATGGAGGAGGGAGGTATCGTAAACACTATGTCTAACTAACACTAGTAACAGGCTGTACTGCTGCTGTGAGGGCTTGGAAGACAGACACACCCCCCCCCCCCCCCCCCCCCCCCCACACACACACACACATTAATTTTCAGTTTGTACTTGTAGCCCTGTACATGTACCTCACAGGACAGTCACAGAAACTAACTATACATTCAATACAGTGTCCTCGGGATCTTTTGTCTTGCATTGGAGGTACTTCATAATAATTATTATTCTTTTCCAGCCCTTTAACCCTTTGAGAGCCGATTGAAAATTTCAAAATTCTGCATATTTTCATGTTCTTTGGGACGTAACTTCAGTTCTACTCACTCAAACTTCACAATCTTGGGCTTCCTGGAAAGGTCTCCGCGAGAGGAAGAGACTGAGGTCACGCATGATGACCAGGACGCCATATCTCCAGCGCCAGAGAGCAGCGACCTAGCGAAAACTGCTTGAAATGCGTGCACTTTCGTCCTGCTCCAGCATTTTCATTTTTCTTGATCGCAGAGTTTCGATTTTTTCGCTGTGTACCCTTGGAAATACTACCAGTGAAACCCACGCAAATTTGAGTAACTCAGCGCGAGGAAAAGTCTCAAAATTCTCAACTTTCGAGTTGCACTCCCACGCTTTTCAAGTGCCGCGATCGCGGCTGAACTTACGAGCGATTTATCTCAAGAACCGTTGATCGCAGCGCGTCGCGGATGGGTTCTACGGCACGCTGAGAGTTTTCTCTTCAAGGTAGATATTTGGATCGTTGAATTTGAGCTAGTTTTGACCGAGTTACGGCCAGTTGAAGTCTCACAGTCGAGTGTGTAGAATTCTACACATTCAAGTATGGGTCGGCTCTCAAAGGGTTAACCTCTGGTGTAGAGTGCAAATTTCAGCTCAGATAAACTGGGACACATGTAGTGACGTATGCAGCAAAGAGACCCCCATGTTGAGTGTTTGAGTTGAGCAACTAATACGGACTTGAGGGACCCTGATGTGTCAATGGCTGCAATGGAGTCTGCGCATTCTTACAAAACCAGGGAGTTGTGGAAATACAATGTACAGTGTATTTTACGAATCCTTGCAGCTAGCTGGTCGGAACATATCCGATATCGGGCTGCTTGGACCTGGGCGGCTGGAGCAGCCAGAGCAGTTTGCTTTTCGCTTTGATATGCCTATAGTTTCTTTTTCAAATATGGCTTGGTGTACACTGTACCAGTATGTGATGTACATGACAGTTCCGCTCGGTGAAATCTGACCCAAGGTGAACATCTGGCGCCCTCAGCTTGCACGGCCCTTGACCTTGCCCTGGATGCGGTAAGAATGCTGCTGGACCCGTACACATATACAAGTACAGTGATGTAATCGGAACTGGTCCAGGGTCCAGGGTCCAGGGCGCCAGGGTCCAGGGTCCAGGGCGTCAGTTTCGCACTTTGGGACAGATTTCAGTGAGTGTACCTGTACATTATAGCAATAAAAACTGCTTTATGGCAGTTTTCTAAAAAAAGTTATTGTGTTCTAGTCCATGGACCCCATCTAAAAAGTAAGAAATTAACGAAATGTGATAGCTGAAAATTAAAATTTCACACAAAACCTCACAATAATCACAACACTTGAAATGCTGCTTTCAACCAGGGAGTAGTACAATACTACTCCCTGCTTTCAACACTAAACTTGTACTGCACCAACAATTGGCAACATGCATGCATAGGAAAGAGGATCGCGAGGGGAAGAGGTCTTCTGCATGTAGCTTTTCATTCTGTGTGTGATTATTGTGAGGTTTTGTGTGAAATTTTAATTTTCAGCTATCACATTTCGTTAATTTCTTACTTTTTAGATGGGGTCCATGGACTAGAACACAATAACTTTTTTTAGAAAACTGCCATAAAGCAGTTTTTATTGCTATAATTTCTTTTGTTTTTTCTGTCACCAATCAATGGAATGCCCTATATCAATATGTAAATGATGGCCTTCACATCATATCAATACCATATTATACGCATTGATGTGCAAGCCTTTTCTTGCAGAAAATGGCACTAGCATAATGCATGTTCTTCTGCGGGTAAACATGTGAGCATGCAGTGGTGGTTATACTTTTTTTATACGGAGGTCATTCTGTGCATGTTGCTGTTGCAGAATTTCATGACTCTGTCATAAAATTGTCTTGCCTTTCAGATATTTCAGATTTCTCCACCCTCAATCAGATTTATTTGAGAAATGTAGCCATGCGGCAGGTGCGTGTCGCAAATGTTTTTGTTGATTCTGTGTTTATAATGGTTTATAGTCATGGGTTATCGTGATAAGGTCATCCAGCATCATGTTGAAACTGAAATCGTAATCCTGTTGATGTCGATACAACTTTTGGAAGTAGTTCAATGACTTCAAACTGTTAGTCCACGATTGTCTAAAACAACACAGCAAAGGAGGAACAATAAACATGTATTAAAATGTAAACGAATACATTGCTGAGTCCAAAACCTCGTTCCAACAACTACACTGATCCTGAGGAGAAAAGGTACAAGGCTATGGTTGGAGGTACTGAGAGATAAACAAGGCACTCCACAATAATAAAATCTTACACATCTTTTGGTGAGTATGAATGATGTCCAGTCGAACCTCTTTAGGACGAACACCAAGGGACCGATGGTATTTATTCTGTGAGCTTAACCTATTTTATAACCGGAGAATACAATTATATCTCCAATAGACATACGAATAGATTTCTTCTACGGCGAAAGATTCTAAGCCACACCAACTCATTGCCTCGTCTCGTATGAAACAATTGAGTCACTAGGGAGATTCTGCAAAACGAAAATGCGTACAAACTTTCGCTCTACATCATGAAGTGCGAAACTTCGCACCTTTGGACGCGAAACTTGCAGGGAACGCGAAATGAACTGTCGTAGGAAATTTCGTGAGGTCGGGTCATGGCGTAAGTGCACTTGGCCCGCGCAAACTACGAAAATGTGCAGAACGCAAAGTTCGTGCAAAAATTCGCACACACTTTCGCAAGGACTGTCGCGAAACTTCGTTCGAATTTTCGTTTTGCAGAACCTCTCTACTGAACCTTTCTTTAGCAACATGACGGCAACTCAAACAGCAACAGAGAAAGTACGATACATGTACTCCACATTCTTACAGGTACTACAAACAGATTGCAGATCGTAATTCTTGCTTTGGCGGCACGAAACTTTATTTGAGGCAGTGCAATCTCGGCGGTACTCACAAATCAAACAGCCCAGACTTGAGTAAACAAATCCAATCATACAAGTACGAGATTTTCACGAGACGAGACTGCACCCATTGGCTTGTTTCGTATGAAACAAACAAGTTACTGAACCTCTCCACAATAGAGATTTCCCCTGATATGCGAATTTATTTTGCAAACTCGGTCAATTGGTACTTGAACCTTTCCCTCCAGATTGGGAACTGCCAACGATAGTATGCCACTGACCAGTGCCTTACTTGTAACGTACCAATGTACAATGAATATGAGTATTTCGACAACACATCTAACATAAGCCTTACCGTCAAGAAGTTGAACTCGCGTTCTTCGCACACTGCAGACAAGGGCAAAGAGATAAAAATGGATCTAAATCCGAATAAAATCAGCACACGTTTCCGTAAATGAAAGGTGAACATAAGCAAATGAATTGAAGGAAACCGGTCAACTTAGAGATCACCTGTCATCGAGTATTCCGTAAAAGGAGGCCTCGCAGCTCGGCAGCAGAAAAGCAAAATTTAGAAAAGAGATCCTGTCAACTTTTCCATTATTTATTGCATTCCGCCCCAAAATCAGCACACTTTTCCTAAATGAAAGAGTCAACACAAGCAAATGAATCAAAGGCAACTGGTCAACTCACCTGTCATTGAGTAATATTCCGCGAAAGGAGGTCTCAGCAGCGCCGAAACGAAATAAGCCAGGCCATGAGACGAAATATCCGAAACAGCTCATGCATGCAAGAAGCAGTTCCAAAGAAGGAAGTTCCTCGCGCATGCACATCCGAACACGGATCCGCGGACTGCATGCACTGAACACAATGTCTGCCGTGCACGTGCACAGCACACGGCTACCACGCGTTGGTAGATCTAATACCGAGCACCTTACGTAGAGACTTACGTAGCCTAAGTGAAATACCGAGCACCTTACGTAGAAACTTACGTAGCATAGCGGTGTCGTTTTTTCTGCCATGTGAACACAATAATAGAAAAGCTGACAGGATCGCTTTTCTAAATACCGAGCACCTTACGTAGAGACTTACGTAGCCTAAGTGAAATACCGAGCACCTTACGTAGAAACTTACGTAGCATAGCGATGTCGTTTTTCCTGCCATGTGAACACAATAATAGAAAAGCTGACAGGATCGCTTTTCTAAATGTACAATTGCGTTCTCACCAAAGACAACACAACACATGATCTTACATGATGATAAGGTAATCTGCAATTCATAAGGTCAAAAAAAACTCAATAAGCGCGACATGTAGTGCGACAACAAGAGACAACCACTGGACATACATGTAACTAACGAGGTTTTGACGACCTACCTAACAGCCTAAGTGTGAATTTGATTTGTTTCTGCTTGCAAAGGTTGGGTTTCCTTGTGTGGATGTATACAGCTGTAGGTAGGACTCTTCAACATCTGGACGCACGCATCCGACAACACGCACCGCTACACCTTATTCCACAACACGCACGATCCACTCGACCACGGAGGGGACGTCCAGCAAAGAATCATCCTGGTACAAGATGGTCCAACGCAGCGGCATCAACACCAAGGAACGTCACCTCACAATTAACTAGACCACCAGAAAAACAACCGGACAAGACACCTACGTGCGTGGCAGTGACAGGAACCGCATCAACCAGAAGAATAACAAGATCGGCAACGGCGGCGATGGCAGCGACTAAAGCACAGACAGAGGCAACGGCTAGGGTCCACTCGACTAGCCATGTGAAATCGGATGTGTCCACCGCACATGCTGATTGTTCTGATGTTAGTTCTGATAAGTATGAGTCGTCCATTGCTAGTCATTTGTTTGAGCATCCTGATTGTCGTGCTGTGTATTCGGATGATTGTTTTTCGATTGTGTCACGTGTACGCAGTGCTAGATTGCTGAATGTTTTGGAAGCTGTATACATCCACACAAGGAAACCCAACCTTTGCAAGCAGAAACAAATCAAATTCACACTTAGGCTGTTAGGTAGGTCGTCAAAACCTCGTTAGTTACATGTATGTCCAGTGGTTGTCTCTTGTTGTTGCACTACATGTCGCGCTTATTGAGTTTTCTCGCATTTGCACCTTTGTGTCATTATTGCAATTTTCGCTGTTTACTTTAGCTATCTTCTTTCTTTCTTTCTTTCTTTTTGCGCTGTTTTACCACCTTCTTACTGTATTTAATCCACTGTTCCTGTTCCTTTTCCCTTGCCTGTATTTCACCTGATGAGAAGGCTTGAAAGTATACTTGTGAAGACGAAAACTTTCAAGATGTTTGTAATGAGCCTGAAGTGTGTCCTTTTTATGAGTATTATCGCATTTTTGTCTCAGAGGAAACTGTTTACATAAGGTCAAACTTTGTCTTTATAGTAGGAGCATAGCGCCAAAAGTTCAGTCAGAAGCTGTCATCGCCGTCGTTCACAGCATAATGCTCACCAGCAGATACGTCCAGTCAAGTTCTCAATCAAAGACATTCGCGTTGGTTATTCATTTGTCCCGGTGTACAGTGCACACGCTTGTAAATAAAGAAAGAGAAGAAAATATTCACTTCACCGTAAATGACCAAGTCATCCATTGGAAAATCTCTCCTACATCCAGTATTTTTGAATCACTTCGCTCAAGTTGCTTCTCAGATAGCGCAGCAAAAAAGAAAAGGCAGTGTGGTACAGCAGTTGGATACAACTACAGTTGTCATACCTGTGTGACACTGTGCGTGGGTCACTACAGTTGTCATACCTGTGTGACACTGTGCGTGGGTCACTACAGTTGTCATACCTGTGTGACACTGTGCGTGGGTCACTACCGGCGTTGTCATACCTGTGTGACACTGTGCGTGGGTCACTACCGGCGTTGTCATACCTGTGTGACACTGTGCGTGGGTCACTACAGTTGTCATACCTGTGTGACACTGTGCGTGGGTCACTACAGTTGTCATACCTGTGTGACACTGTGCGTGGGTCACTACATATTCTCATACCTGCGTGATACTGTGGGTTGGCGCCTGTGATCCGCGCCCGATGCTGTGCACCGGTGGTGCCTGAGAGGGACGACCGTTGCTCACGCCACCGCCGCCGCCATGCGACCGGTGCACCTTGACGCTACCACCGCCATTGCTGTGTCTCATTGGATTACGCACGTAGCTGCCCTCCATTGACAGGTGACTGACGCGTCGGGAGTGCAGGTCCGCCGAGCGCGACTTCCTGCGACACAGGCGGCGCGTGAATCGTTTCCAAGACGCGACCGTCTTGCCCGACCAAATCCAGACGCTGGACGTTACGCCCACCACCAGCAGCATGAAGTACTTGACGACGTAGACGGCGAATATCGGAGCATCGCAGTGCGTGCCTGTGCAGCCTGGTCGGCACAGTGGCTCGGTGCAGTGCGTGCGCCAGTGATCCCGGTCGGCATACTCGTGGGCATAGATGCCGAGAACCACGCTGGCCGGCCCAGTGTAAAACACAGACAGGATGCCTATGCGCACGATCAGCTGCTCCAGTTTCTGAGTGCTGCGGCCGCCGTCCTTCATCATTGTACGTATTCGGATCAGCGACGCAATGCCGATGATAATGAACAGCGTTCCTATTGCCAAGTAGACGGAGATGGGTATGATCACGAAGCCCAGAAGCGACGACTTCTTGAAATTTCCAACCGAGCAGACGCGGGCAAGCTCGTCCGCATCCACATTCTCCGTGGCCACGAGTACGAGGGTCTTCAGGGCTGGAGCACCCCAGGCAATGATGTGGAAGTGTGTGGAGTGCTTGGCAATGGCCTCTGTTCCCCACTTGAAGCCGGCAGCCAGCAGCCAGGTCAGCGTCAAGACCAGCCACCAGCTGTACGATGCCATCCATGAGAAGTACAGTAGCAGAGCGATGATCGTGCACGGGCCAGAGTTGGTGCCAGCGTTGACCAGCTCAGAGCCAGAGCACACCAGAACTGTATCTCCAGCAATTAACCTTGCAATGAATGCCAACGAAAATATGCTGTAGGAGAGGCTGAGAAATACGATTGGCTTCTCCGGGTAGTTGAAGCGTTCTCGATCCATGAAGAACGTGGCCACCGTGATAAGCGACGACAAAAGGCAAAGTACAGACCAGATGGCGATCCATAGCGTGATGAACGAACGGTTCTCCGCCTGAAAGTAGTAGTCGCCATTGCAGGGCCGGGATCCCATTCCGGACATGTTGGCTGTCACGGGGATCAACGTCGTGCTCACTGGACCCACACTCGGCGGGAGAGGAGGCAGTACTAGGCAGTCGGTGCGGTTGTCCGCCTTCCTCGGATACCTAGTCGTGTCGTTGCAGTTGAACCGCACCGGCCAAACAAATCGGTTTGCGACGAACAGGTCGGAGCAGGAGAACTCCATTGCTGAGCAGAATTCGTCGCACGGGTAGAGTACGGATGAGTGCGCCGAAATCCCACCCGCCATGCTGCTTGTGCTGCGACACACGGGCAGGAAAGACGCGCAGACGAACAGCGGCATGTGCGCGTGGCACGTGGACGATGTCAGGATGATGCCGGCGAACTGATTGAGCTCGGCGACAACGGCCCGCCGCAGAGTGCCGTTCACGTACGCCATAGTGCTGTTGTACAGACCGTTGCACAACGCTTCGGCGCCTCCATCGGCAGTCTGTAATGGTGTGCAGATATGCTCTGTTCCTGCGGCACCAGGCACAGCCATAGCAAGCAGCAGGTACACAGCCAGCAGCCCGAATAAACGCCTTTCCACTTTACCGGCGCACAGGTCAGACACCAACATCGTGCCTGTCCTTGCACTCTGTGCACGTGTGCTTCTTATTCTTACATGACTCTTCCTCGATGTTGGCATGCTTTCAACGGCGTAGATCTGCAATGACTATACCCCCGCAGACACGGAGGCAGTACTTTTACTACCGATGATCTTCGATCTGCACGAACGATAGGCTCTATGCGCGCCCGCCGTTGCCGAGGACTCGAATAACATGGACACGTCCTGCTTGCTCAACAGCGCAGGCCGGGCAAACAAAATCCGCCGCACAAAACTCTGGCCGCAGGGATTCTTCGGGTGTCGATGTTAGAGCACTATACTCGGCCTTTGAATACCATGAATACGGAGAGTTGAGAAGCCCATCGGCCAATTACAAAAGTCAGTTTTCTATCTGTTACCAAGCCGAACAAGCACTAGCGGACATGCCCCAGGGAGCGTTTCGTCTCTCATTCGTTGTCGCGTTTCCCTAGTCTCGTCCACGGCCAACGCTCCAGGCACTTCCATCCGCGCTTTTAGGTCACCGGTACGGTCTTGGAGTCGACAAGCTTTCCTCCGGCAGGCTGAAGTAGACACCTGCGTGCAGTAGGTTGAGATTTTCAAAGTTTGCCAAGCTGCTGGTCAGCGATACTGCGAAAAAATTCTTCACGTTGTAAATGAAAACAGATCCCTTCAAGTCTCGTCAGGTCGTGTGTGTTTTCGAGCTCGTTTTGACAGTCCAGCTGCTATAGAGTGAATTCATGAACGCTCTGCGGTGGACGGACACCCACTTACAAGGGGATCGATGGCTTGTCACGATCCAGTGATGCCATATCGCCATGCACTATGAAGTATGATGTAGGGTAGTGAGTCAGGCCGAGTAGATCTACGACTTGTATTGTAAGCCAGATAGAGATACTCAGTGAAAAAACATGTTACCAAACCGGCACTGAACGGTTCAAAGACTGCTTCGCTGAGTAGATCTACGAGTGCTGCATGCTATGTTCTCGGGATCGGCTATATTGTAAAAAAGTGTAAGTGTAACGATAACCATGATAACGGGCATGCTATTTTTGTACACATGGCCGTGATGATTGTATTGTCATGTTGTTGCAAACGAAGACAGAACTAATACTTGTCCCTTGTCATCATCACTGTTACCTTCCACTGCATACGTGACCGCAAGTGTTACCGGAGTACAGTGCAGACTAGTAATGCTCGGACAGTGCTTTGCTGGGATCCCACTCTTCCCAGGATATCGGATGTATAATTATGTGACAGTTACAGACTAAAGCACAGTCAATGCGTACTGGATCTACATGATCATGATGACTGAACTCCTGGCCGGACAGCTAGCTGTTTCAACCATCCTTGTTCATGTCACGACTCACCAGCCAGGTAAGCTTTGTCCAATCGTGTACATGTATGTACATGTTACAGACATGTGACATGACAGTACACGTCTGGAGCAGTGCAGCTTCACTGAACAATCGAGGCCCACCACGCACGCACGTACACACGCACACACACGCATGCACGCACACATGCACGCATACACGCATGCATGCACACACACACACACGCACACACACACATACACACACACACACACACACATACACACACACACACATACACACACATATATCATGGGGGATCGAATCCCGGGGACTCGAAACAACTGAGAGTCGGCCAGTGCCAAACCTTCATCGTATCTTCACACGGTGAGCACAATCCCCTGTGTAGCCAGGTGTCAAGCTACCCATTGAGGGTCATCCGGCCCTGCCAAACGGGTCAGTGACGAACAGCCTCAGCACAGGGGCCGGGTTCAACTGGCCAAGAAGATGTACTGGGGAACTTAAAATACACAGTAACATGTAAGTCACTGTCAGTCATTTGCCTGATTGCTCGACTCGGCGATAGGAACTACTTGGCTAACGTTTTAAAAAAAATAATTCCAGCAGGACATATTTCTTCTGATGTGTTCTGTGACTCCAGCATGCTGTGGTCAATACTACTACATGTAAGTAGTAAGTTGTACGTGTTGTTGCGGCTCACTGCTACTACCAAAACTGGTCACGTGGGTCCCCCCGGCCCCCGGGAGAGGGGAGAGATACCGTAGGCTCCGAAAAGGAATCTTAGTGGGGGAAGGATGACTCAATTGGCTATGGCCCGCCCCGGCATCGGCCGACACCCCCTGAAATCCCAAAACTCTGGGTGGACTTGGAAATGATCCCACGTAAGGGCTCGCCACATCTCAAGCTCAGTAAGTGGGTGAGGACATGGACAGGGTTCAGAAAAAAGATTGAATCCCGGGGATTGACGGAGCAGGGTATCTGTCCCGAGATCCATCTTCTTTTCCACCCTGCCTCCACTGAAGGTAATACTTGCTGCCCTAAAATCAGAGTGCTCAGTACGCGCACAAAGAGTACTCTCAAACCACTTACAAATAATTGCACAGTGCTGCACAATGAAATCCAGTCGCGCCGCTCAAGTACGCGCCGGGTGTTGCGCAGCCCTAGACCCGCGAACAACGGGCTGCAAAATGGTGCGAGGCGCAAACTTGAGTGATGTGGCTGGATTTCGTTTAGCAGTACTGTGCATGCGTATACGTCATGTAGTTGTGTTGTTTGTCAGGATTCGGAGATGTGAGTATAGAGGCCGCAAGTTATGCGAAAGACGTCACAATGATGGGTTTTAGCAGATTTCAGAATAGCTTACAACTTGCACTAAGAGCTCGTTCGAATTGTCTTCATCAACTGTTTAAACAAAATTTAATTTTTAAAGAGACTAGTTGAAGTGTCCCAATAGAACGGTTCCTATAATTTTAGAGTTTTTCAGTGGAATTGTCATGGCAATAATGATGTCCGATCAGATCGACAATCTCGATGTACACATGACGTAGCTATTCCAAACTCTTCGGAACTAATCCACCTCTCCCATCGGATGAGGTTGTGGAGTTTCGAGGAGTTTCGTTTTTCTGAAGAGGCCAATAAGGCCACCTCTTCAGAAAAACGAAACTCCTCGAAGTCAAAGAGTGACAATTTGAACGCGATCAGGCTAACTACATGTAAGTATCAAAAGAGTATTTGTTTCATTCTGTGTCACAGTATGCTAAAATACTTGTTCATGCATAGTACCACCGATTCAAGTCGAGTGTTTTAAACTTGATATCAGCTCACAGCCTGACCACGGCATACAGCTGTCTAACATTGTGTAAGGCTGCCCTTCAATCCTTCAGCCGGTTTCATTCTCTTATTCACTTCACAAGTTCCGAAATAGTTACGTACCGTGATCCGAGAGTGATAGTAGAATTTTTATTGCTGATGTCTGCCATTGATACCAGGGGAGAAACACAGAACAGGGGGGGGGGGGAGGGGGGGGGGTAGGCTTTCCCAAATCGGCCCGTTTTTTTTTCGCCTATTCGCCTTTTCGCTCAGCTGAAAAATACATCAGATTCGGCTGCAAAAATCAGGTGATTGTTCAAAAATCGGCTGCAAAATTGGAAAATATTGGAATATTGGCTTCAAAATTGGTGAGATATAAGCCTTTTGCGCGTTGTACAGATGCACGAAATCCCGTAGAATCCCGTAGAACCTAATGGGTGTTGAATGTGCAGGACCCTATTGTGTTTTCTGCTATTTCCACTAAGAAATGGGCGCTGAAGGCATTTCAAACGAAAACCTTTTCTGTCAAAGATCTAGCTAGTCATTAGTTCTAACCAAAGTGAAGAAGCTGGAAAAAGGGATTGTTTGCCATTAGTTATGAGGCTAAAATTGGTCCACTGCGCATGCATAGCGCACAATGAACACCCAACCGGGTCTGTACACACCTACGCCCTAGTGCTGAACTAAGTTACTTCGTACATCTGTACAACGCGCCGGTGATTTTAGCGCCGGTGATTTTTTAGCGAAGGGAGTGTTTTCGCTAATGTTTTTCTGCGCCAGTCGAGATTTTCCATGTACGGTACAGTACAAGCCATCTCTTTTTTTTTTTTAATTAATCCTGAGACTTGGATCTCTAAAAGATCAAGTTTCATCGCGAATTGGTCCTGATTCAGAAAACGCTAAAAAGTGTACCTGTTAGAATTAGCCATTCTACTTTACTTCCACGGAGTCCCAGATCTCTCATCGAGCTCAGTCTGAGTGGTGAAAAGAGATACCCGGACCCATCAACACTGCTGCTGAGCACTTGTATTTTTTATCACTTGAATGTTGTATTGGCTATTTGCCACTTTTGACTGTGACTGAGTTTTGGTACAGTAAAACCTGTCAAGGCGACCACTCGGATAAGCAACCACCTGTTCTAGAAGACCACTGAAATCAGCACCAAGGAATGCTATTTCCAGTCAAATGACCCTGGATAAGGAGACCACCTGGTTACAGAGACCACGTTTTGAAGGTCCCTTGAGCGGTCGTCGACAGGTTTCACTGTACACTCAAACGTCTCTTAACGCCTCAGATACGGGCACGTCTCTCTACCGGGCACCTTCAACTTGAGTTCCTATGGCAAAAATGCTTAGAATTTGGGAGGTTTGAACTTTTTTTGTATGCGCAAGTGCTTATTTGTCACTGCCAACCTGTGAAATCCATACATTTTAATCAATGGATTCTTTCTGTAACCTGAGGCTGAATGTGGGCAAGGCAATACTTGCCAAAATATGTAGACCATGGTTTGTAAACGTCCGATCGGCCGAGTGTACTTCGAAGCAGGGAGTCGTCAAATACTTGACGACTCCCTGCTTCGAATTAGCCCTTTGCGGTGCATCAGTCATTTACGACCTAGGCACTACGCCACTAGGGCCTAGGGCGCTAGGCCGCCGCGCCCGCGCCGCCTATAGCCTGCACGTGCACGTCGATGTACGTCGACGTCTTTCACCATTGTTCACGTCATGATGTGCCCCATGTCACGTGACGTAAGGTCTGCTGTGTCTTGATGTCATGATGACTTGTTTCAATGATTATTTTTACTGAGTATAAAATGTTGTTTGAGTTTGATGACGATGTGCAGTGTTTTTGATTCTCGATCTCTAGTTATGACCCAGGGGCCAGGGCTCTATCTTGATTCTACATGTAGCAGAAGCAAGTGTTAGTTTTGCAGAGGAAGAACTGCTGGTCGTCAGCGGTAGACCAGGTAGACTACGGAGCCTTGTTTCAAGTTGTAAACAAGACATCTAAAAAGCCTTCCTTATCAATTTCAAGAATTTGAAATTCTGAAATTGTTCAGAAAGTTAGTTCATCGACAAAAGGCGTCATTTGCGCGTTGTCTTATTATGCTGGGTAGCTGCTCAGTTTGTGTATAGCCACAGGCGTGCGGGAGGCAATGGAGGACATACCGGTGAGTGATTGTCTCATACTAGCCACGAGCTATTGCCATTCGAGTTGTCGGGAAAATCTTCAGTTCCTCAAATGGATAAAAACTACTCAGTATGTTCATACCACTGGTGGAAGTTTTACTACAATGGGATGTGCATGCATCACACTGACTACTCGTGGCATGCCCTTGTCCGCATTGACCTGCACATCAGCAAGCTCTACATGTAGTGAGACATGGTGTACAACAAACAGCGAAATGCGCACACAGCATTTGATACAACGTGTATCTGTCCGCAGGAAAGCCGTTATATTATGCAGAGCAAATGCATATGAAACTGGGCTGTTGAGCCAAAAGTATTCATGCAAAAGAGAAAGGACCAAGAATCGAGTTATGACTAACAGTCAGTCCACCAAGGTAGCTAGATAGTCATAACTCTGAACTTATTGGTCTTTTCTCTTTTACATACATACACATGAGCATGAGATACTATAGGCAGTGCTGCCAAACTGTCTGATTTTTCGGACAGTGTCCGCTTTTTGAAGGCTCTTCCGAAAACCGGTCCGAAAAGGGAAACGTCCGAAAAGCAGCCAAAATGTCGGAGATCATTACTTTCCTATGCAGAAGTCCTGTACTTTCACTTTTCAGCGCAACTGAAGGCACAAATCTGGGGTTACCATGGCAACGAAGCGAATTTTTCATGGTGTTTTAGGCGATATTTTGAATTCTCTGTAAAAAAATTGCAGAGGGGAAAAATTCGCACCATGTGGCCAGCCTTGGGGGTGAACGGTGTCCGATTTTGGGCGAAAATTATTTGGCAGCACTGTATAGGGGTTAATGTGTTCAGTCAGGCTGCAATTAGGACCGCGATAGATTGCAGCTGCCAGTCGCAGCAACAACCGCATTTTGGTCTTCTTCAAAATTTACCAGTAGCCATGGAATCATGTGTCCAACTCGTACAGTTCGCTCTTATCCATTCTTTCCCTTTCTCTTTTTCTCTTGCGGGTTGGGTGTGTGATTCTGAAGTATAAAACAAAACACCCCACCCCCCCCCCCCCCCCCCACCCACGCACACACACACACTAGGTGACCATGGGTAGTGCAGACCTGACGAGCGGTGGTACCCACACCCCAGGTCGAATGCTTTTTTTGCCGTGCACCATGGTATAATACTGTCGCAACTACCGCTGTGGACCGATCGTGAATTTGCTGAAGAAACTCTTTGGGAACATATTGCTTGTTATGCCTGTCGCATGGCCCTTCCAATGCATCTAACAGGTTCGTGTGTGTATGTATATATTGTTACTTTCGATTAGGGTTCGTTGTAGAATGCTCGGAACACACTCTCACAAACAAACTACGCAAGAATCTTCACCACGCACAGATGGACACTTTCAGTGTGGATAGAAAACCAACTTCAACTCTCACCACTACAACGTATAAAGCAAGAACACAAGAATGGAATACACTTCCAAGAGAAACACACACCGAGCGAACTGCAAAGCAAACACAAGTGGTAGACAAAGCCAGACCAATAAAACCGAAACACGCAGTACCACAAGCCTCCACGTGCGCAGCGTGGGAATCTGGAGTGATTTGCATCGGTCACGCGACACGTGCAGCCACACAGGCGCGGGCATGTAAAACGCGCATGCAAGCAATGCATGAAAGGTGCCAGTGACATGGGCGGAACAGTGAACTAAACGTAACATACCTCCCTCATGAGCGAACCTAGGACTATGAGCGAATACGATAAGTAGAACCATGGACACTGGTTAGATATGATTACTGTGAAGTACGACACATGGACATAATTATTGAGAGGCTAAACTAACGACAGCGAGAAAACAGTGCTATTGAAGTCATGCAACCAGTACGCTTGACAGGATACTATGAATGGTACTGTTATTCAAACTCAGGCAGATCCACTGCAGCTGTACCTGCCATCTTCTCACCGGTCGGAGCCACATCTAGCGGCACAAGCTGGTGAACGCTTCTCTTGTAGACTTTGCCGCTCACCTTGATGTCGACCACACGGATACGTCCATCTCTGCCGGGGTATGTCGCTACTACTCGGCCTAATGACCAACATGCGCGGGGTATCGAGGAATCAGCAACGATCAGTACTGTGCCGACGTCCAAATCGACGGCATCTTTAAGCCACTTTGTGGTGAGGTTGGCACGTGCAACAACCTCTTTCATCCACCTCTTCCAGATCTGCTGCATGAGGTTCTGTAGAACTTTCCACCGATGTCGGGGGTTGATACGGCCGTCAGACTCCACGTGTTCCAAGGGCGTTGTCATTGATGCAGGGGCGTCACCGGACCCCTTCACAGGGGGGTGCACAGGAATTTTGCACAGGAAATATTGTGCACAGGAAAACACGAAAAAGTTCGGTGATAGTGAGCTGGCCAGACACTTTCCTTTTTCGAGAAGACGACATTTTGAGAGGAAACAGCTCCAATGACTCTTCAAGTGTGGTGACCTGACTAACTTACTTGCGACCACACTGAATTATTTCTTCTGTTTCAAACAAACACCCAGCACGCCGCCGCGCGTGTAGATTCTAGTACAAGGCCAAAGGATGCAGCGCTGCGCACACGTGCACGCGTACGCGCGTAGTAGGTAAGTACACGTACTAAATTAGTAGTTTTTTTCTTCAGACTTTTCCCGTTTGTCTCTTTCCCTCAAACCAGTTAATAAATTAGTAGCAGTAGTACTAGAGTACTAGTACGATCCGTCATGTACATGCACTCGCTACATGCACTCGCTACATGCACTCACGCGATCGCGGCAGTGCAGTACAACTACCGTAGAATCCCGCGGATAAGCCCACCCGCGTATAAACCCATGCCCGCGCATAAGCCCAGGGTTTGTTCGAACATCACACAGCTTCATCGTACATAGGTCATACCGAGGGTCCATAAATTATGGACTCTTGGCCATACCATGTACGTAGTACATGCACATTATATAATTTATAGTTTTTTTCGTACATTTCAGGACAATCATCGGTTGTTTTTGTTTGCACAGTGGTTTTCAGCAATGTACTTCTCACTTCCTTGATACTTTTCAATAGCACAACTTACTTGGTGTCGGCGTATAAGCCCATGCCCGCGTATAAGCCCATGTTCTTGTATAAGCCCACCGAAATGTCCTTGTGAAACAGATAAGCCCATGGGCTTATCCGCGGGACTCTACGGTAGTTTTAGTGCATGCAGGTTATTAGTAGATTCTACCAGCACTACACTTTTCATAACCAGGAATTCGCAAAAAACCAAGGTCGAATTTTTTAGGGGGGTGCACGTGCCCCCCGAGCCCATCACGGGTGACGCCCCTGATTGATGCATGGCCAATCAGGAAGTGCGCGGGTGTTAGCGGCTCGGGATCAAATAGTGAGGCCATGCAGCTGAGAACGCCACGTTTGGTAAGCGTGACAGGGGCTGGACTCCGGCAGTGGAAAGTGAAGTAGTCATCAGCGATCATCCACGAGACTCCCAGAGCCTTCTGCATCGCCTTGCCGGACCCATCCTGCTCAGTGAAGGTCTTCGCGATGTCCAATGCTCGGTCTTCTTCAGGAATGGACTGCATGACCATGATGACCACCGGGCTATTCGACATCCGCTTGCGTAGGTGAAAGCCGCCCATACTTTGCAGACATTGGAGCTGCTCCTGTACCCGGATCGCCTGTTGCTCAGTTGGTAGCGACTTCAGCATGTCGTCTACATAGAGGGGCTGGCGGATGGTGCTACACGTCTCCGTGTCGAACTGATCGCCAAACTTCTCAGCCGTCTCTAGAAGAGCCCGTCCGGCCAGGTATGGCGGTGCCTTAATGCCGAAGGCGAGTCGAGTGAACTCGAACACACGTATATCGTCATCCACGAACCATAGGAAGCGGTGGTAGCGCCGGTCCTCAGGTCTCAGGCCGACCTGCAGAAACATCTCCGAAATGTCGGCGATCAGTGCGATGGGGTGCTCACAGAAACGGATGAGGACCTTCACAAGGTCGTTCTGGAGCTTGGGCCCTGCCAGCATGCAGTCATTAATGCTGCTTCCATTGAACTGAGCAGCAGCGTCGAAGACGACACAGACTTTGGTGGTGGCCTTGTCCTCTCGCACGACAGGGAAGTGCGGAAGGAGCCACCCGTCTGTAGCACCGCTGCATTCTTCCTGTGCTGTCAGCATCCTGATGTATGACTTGTGAAGGTAGTCCTCCAGTACCTTGGCATAGCGGACTTGTACGTCAGGCCGTCGCTGCAGGGAACGTACCAAGAATCTGAGTCGACACTCAGCTTGAACTCGATTGCTCTTGACCCCAGGCGGCTCCTCTGTCTTCCACGGGATGGTGACCTCGAAGCGCCCATTCACGTGACGGATGTACTGGCGGGTGTTACTCTCAGCTTGGCGCTCATCCGGTGTCAAGTACTCATCTGATGATGTCTCCATCCCGACTGATTCAAGTTCCCAGAACTTCTTCACCAGTGTGTCCAGTCCTGAGCGCGTTGCCTCCGCGACATGGAAAGTGCTGTGACTGCTGGGGCCTTCGGAGCGTATGCTGGGACCAAAGCACACCCAGCCGAGAAGCGTTCGTCTGGCGATGGGATCGCCGTCGTTGCCAACTCGCTCCTCCTGCACAACGTGAAGTACAGAGGCATTCAAGCCGACGAGTATGTCAACCTTGGCGTGAGCTACAGTTGCAAACTCAATGTCGGATAGGTGTCGCCACTTGCTCCGCACGGCATTCCAATTGGTGACATGGAGCTCGCTCGTGATCGTGGGCATCACATAGGCCTCCAGTTGAGTAGTGGCCTTGCTATCATGGTGGTGAAGGTGCAGCTTCACGACGCGCCGTCGGCCGCGCAGAACCTTGCCGCCGAGTACGGTCACACTCACGTCCTTGTCGTTACCCATAAGATGTAGTCGCCTTGCGAGCTGCTCTGACACATAGCTGAAGCTCGAGCCAGAGTCCAGTAGCACATTCGCCATGGCGGAATGTGCCCCGTCCATGACCTGCATAGGAACTGTCATAAATGATGTTGACCCGCTTGCGCCGTCTTCGGTCATTGGCAACCCTCCAGCCGAGTCGATTCCATGATGTGTGGTCTCTTCTGTGGATTGTGGCACCTTCTCCGCCTTGTCAGAAGCAGGCTTGCGCTCGGTGTGGAGCAACAAGTGATGCTTGTCATTACATTCCGTGCAGGCAGCTGACTCACACTCTCGCACCCAATGGCCATCACCCAGGCAGTTCAAACATAGATTCAGCAGCCTAGCCAACTCATTGCGCTTGTTGACACCTAGCGCCTTGAATTCGTTGCAGTGACGCAACTGATGTGGCCCGTTACACTTTCGGCACTTTTGTTGCCGTGCTGGAGATTTTGTGGCTGCCGACTTTTTGTCCTGCCGGCGGACACTGGCCGCTGCCAATGTCTGATGCTTCATCTTCGGTTTAGGTTGCGAAGTGCTCTAGGATTGCGTCTCCTGCTTCTCGAGCAACCCAAGCCGGTCCATGGCATGCTTCAAGTTCTTGATGTAACATAACAGCCACGTGGCGAACGCATCTATGTCAGTGCTGCCAGTTCCATGCTTATCGAAGAACTTGATCAGCATGGACTTGGGAATCTTTTCCGTCGCAATTATGCACAGCTCTTGACTCGGCGTGCTGCCACTGGTGCGAATGTTAGCAATCGTGCTGCGGAGCTTGACGGCATACTTTTTCAGGCCTTCCAGATCTCGCTCGTTGGCAATTCTTGCCTGTGTCATGACCTCTCGTATCTGCTGCTCTAGATGCCTGTCTGCTCCTCCAAACCAGGACTCCAACTCACCCCAGGCAACGGAGTAAGTGCCTGGCCTGTCAAGAAGGTCCACGACAAGATCCTTGGCTGTGCTGTGCTCAATGGCCTCCCTCAGCCGGGCCATCTTGTATTCGTCTGGCAGGCGTGATCCATGTATTGGAGGAAGGAATTTCTCCAACGGTGATAATCATGCGCCTTGCCACTGAACGTCGGCAGTTTTAGAGGCTTCACGAACGGTTGTTGTGGCATGTAGCCAGAATGCGCAAATTGATAATTTTGCGGAGGCAGGGTGCTGCTGGTCTTCGGCACGTACTGCGATGCACACACGTTCAGGGTTGAATGCGCTGAGGCCATGGGCATGGTGGAAATCCTTGGCGGCTGACTGGCTTGGTGCATCGTACTACTCACAACTGTTGGCGCATGTCCAAATGTTGGCAGTGACGTCATCATTGGCATGGGCAGCATCGGCTGTGGCGGCGCAGATCCAAACCCAATGACTGGGGGTGCTGCCCTCATAGGCAGCTGTTGAGGTGGCACTGATCGTGGCAGAGTTCCTGTTGATGCCAACACTGGCATTGATGAGGGAACACTGGGTGCTACCTGTACACTGGCTGCACTAGATGCATTGGGCACATTGTGTGTAGATACAGCAAGTCCTAGTGGCTGAAAAGCACTTTGCACAGCAGATGTCAGGGGTGCATGAAGACCACTTACTTCTTGAATGGTCTGTGGCTGGCTAGGCTGCAAAGGACTTCCCCTCTGCTCCTGGCTGTGAGAGGCTGATGAAAGGACACCAAGCAGAGGCGCTGAGATGCGTCCTTGTATACCAGATGTAGTCCTGGCCAGTGGAGCGTCAGTTCCAATGCTGCTTCTGCCAGTTCTGCAGGTCTCTGCTGGCACTAACTAAGACTGCACCAGACTGGCCAACGGATGAGTTGAGATCCAGCATAGAATCCGAACGCCCCGCACCTGAGCTGCTCTCCAAAGCGTGCTCCTCTTCGGTTCTGGTGTTTTCATCGTGTTGCTGCGACTCATCACCTCCATCCAGCGTTTCTTCCAGAAGTGCGCTCACAGCCAGCAAGCTAATATCGTTTCGGAATTTTTCCTCCCACTTGTCCAACACGTCCAAGCGTGCAGAATCCTGTTGCTGCTCCAGTAGCTCCCTATGTCCGTGGAGCAGTTCTTCAATGGCGCGCACGAGCTCCTCTGCCTGGCGTAGGTCCTTCCCAAGGTACCTGCGGCTTGGACTCGACTTGCCAAATTCACTCGACAATCCTTTTAGGCACAGTGTCAGCCTTCGCCTCAGCTGCTTGCGCTGCGTAATGATTGCCTCGTCGCCAAAGGCTGAGCCATCCAAGGCGTCCAGGTTGTCTTCACTGGTCCCATCTTGGGTAGAGCGGTCCTGCTCTAATCCATCCATGGCCGAGGAAACTGCGTATCCCGTCGGAGGTGCCAGAAATGTTACTTTCGATTAGGGTTCGTTGTAGAATGCTCGGAACACACTCTCACAAACAAACTACGCAAGAATCTTCACCACGCCCAGATGGACACTTTCAGTGTTGACAGAAAACCAACTTCAGCTCTCACCACTACAACGTATAAAGCAAGAACACAAGAATGGAATACACTTCCAAGAGAAACACACACCGAGCGAACTGCAAAGCAAACACAAGTGGTAGACAAAGCCAGACCAATAAAACCGAAACACGCAGTACCACAAGCCTCCACGTGCGCAGCGTGGGAATCTGGAGTGATTTGCATCGGTCACGCGACACGTGCAGCCACACAGGCGCGGGCATGTAAAACGCGCATGCAAGCAATGCATGAAAGGTGCCAGTGACATGGGCGGAACAGTGAACTAAACGTAACATATTATGTGTGTGTCCATGTGTATACCCGTCTGTGTCTGTGCACATGTCTGGCACAATGACAGCAGGGTGCCGAGGAACAGCTGAAGCTCGTTGCCGGCCAGCTATCTGCGCCTGATGCCATCCTTGAACCGGGTGTGACGGATGACTTGATTCGGTAAGCTACTCCTTTAGTATAGGCTGTTTGGAGTGTGCATCGAAGACGAGCTAGAGCTGATTGGCAGTTAGTTGTAGAACGCCAGTGCCGTTGGTCAGTGTCGTGCAATGTTATCGCATGAGTTCATTGATTACACAAGAGTTGATCTAGCCAGAAGTAGTCCATGGTTAGCAGGTATGACATGCTTCAAATAGAGATTGTCAAGTAACTGGTGGTGTTAGTGGACATTATAGCGTAGCTTGTAGTTCCTCGGTCCTTTTCTTTGCTGTAAAAAAATAATAATAATTCACGGTTCGCGTGAGACTCGGCCAAAGGCCCAGTTTTCCACATCCGCAGGAACGCCACCACCCTCTTCGATCAAGGCGCAGGCGCTTTGCTGTAAATCACTCCTTTAATCTTTCAATAAAACTATTTAGTAGTATTCGGCCATATGTGCTTAGGGACATTGAAGACTTCACTCTTCTGAGCTTCTCCCACTTGCCACTCCTTCCCGCTCCCAAGAG